CATAATTAATTAATTTTCAGCTTTTGATATTTCATATAGTGAGCATTAAATTTTAATGAAACTTGGTACATAGATACTCAAGGACTATGCAGAGTTTGATTGTTTTGGGATAAATATTTGTGCATATCAATCACCTAATTTGCATAATTAATTAATTTTCTAATACTAATCATCACATTTAAATGAAACTTTGTACATGAATCCACTAGGACAATGGAGAGACCTGATTAGATTTAGGGTAAATAATTGTGCATATTAATTACCTAATTTGCATAATAAATTATTTTTCAGCTCTTCCACTGATATCTCGAGTACTATTATCACATTTCAATGAATTTAAATTATGCAGAGCACCAATTAGTTTTTTGGTATATATTATGTACATGAATCCACTAGAACAATGCAGAGACCTGATTAGATTCAGGGTAAATAATTGTGCATATTATTCACATAATTTGCATAATTAATCAATTTCAACTTTCACACTGATATCCCAAGTACTATTATCACATTTCAATGAAACTTTGTACATAGATGCTCTAGGACAGTAGTCAGACCTGATTAATTTTGGGTTTAAATCTGAACACATTAATTACCTAATTTGCATAATTAACCAATTTCAAGCTTTCACACTGATATCTAAAGTACAAATTATTCCATTTCAATGTAACTTGATACAAAGATGCACTAGGACAATGGTACAAATTTGATTAGTTTGTGGTTAAAATCTGTTCATATTAATTCTCTAATTAGCATAATGATTCATAATTTTTTTTTATTCTGGTCACATTTCAATGAAACTTGGTACATAGATGGTTTGTTACATTGCGCATACCTTATTAGTTTTAATACTCAAATTTGTAACTAATTAACTATAATTAGTTTTCAGCTTTTCCATCAATATCTCAAGTACAAGTAATATTGAATTAATTTTTACTGTGTCTCCAATACTCTCAGCACACAGGAGTTCTTTCTAATCTTTCTTTGATTCTTGGGGGTATGAATTGTTGTGTGTGTTCCACTTTGATGTATCAAAAACCAATGATCATCAATTTTCAAAGACAATTAATCCAAAGATCCACTGGGATATTCTTCACACTTTGTTAGTTTTGGATTAAAATCCATGGATATTAATAAACTATTTTGTATAATAATTACTTTTTTTAACAACTTATTTTCGGACAATGTATGCTATATTGCTTTTATACTTGGTACATATGTTCCTTTAATGGCCTTTAATAAGTGGCCCTATATTTGATCACCTCCTTCCAAACGCTGCAAAGTTTATTTTCTCATTTTTCACTCCTGTGTGCAAAGCACACAATGGAAGTCTTTGCAGTTAGTGCATCTGTGTGTGTACATAAATATTTCAAGAACCAATTATCAGATTTATTATCAGATGCTCTGGGATAATGCTCAGAACAAATTAGTTCTTTGAAATACCTACTCATTAATATCATATTGATTAGTCAATTTTGAGCATTTTCACTTGATTCAAGTACCATTCAATAGATTTTAATGAAACATTGTACATAGATGATCTGGAATAATGTGCAAACCTGATGTGACTAATGTTTCAGATGACTATATATGGTCATATGACCTCAATATTATGCATAACTGTAATATCTTATTTAAGTACTGTTGCAGATAGAGAGAGACATACAACTTTACTCGCGCTATAATTGACTCCCGTGTGCGAAGCACACAACGAGATTCTTTGCAGTTAGTGTGTCTGTATTTGTATGTGTGTGCATGTGTGTGTATGTGTGTCCGTCTGTTCCACTGATATCTCAAGAACCATACATTGATTTTTGATGAAACTTGGTGCATAGATTAGGTTTTGGTAAAAATCCATGCATATTAATTACCTAATTTGCATGATAATTAGCTGATTTTTAGCTGTTCCATGACTGTTCCACTGATATCAAAAGAACCACTCATTGGATTTTGATGAAACTTGGCACATAGATGCTCCAAACTAATGCGCAGATTTGATTAGTTTTGGGTAATAATCTGTGCAATATTAATTACCTAATTTGCATAATGAGTAATCAATTTTCGGCTTTTCCACTGATATCTCAAGTACTAATCATCACATTTCAATAAAACTTGGTAGATAGATGTCATAGGACACTGCACAAACCTGATAGTTTTTAGGGTAATATCAGTACATATTTCCTAATTTGCATAATTAATTAATTTTCAGCTTTTGATATTTCAAGTAGTAATCACTACATTTCAATGAAACTTGGTACATCGATGTCATACGACACTGCACAGACCCAATAGTTTTTAGGGTAATATCAGTACATATTAATTACCTAATTTGCTTAATTAATTAATTTTCAGCTTTTGATATTTCAAGTAGTAACCATCACATTTCAATGAGACTTGGTACATAGATATCATAGGACACTGCACAGACCTGATAGTTTTTAGGTTAATATCAGTACATATTAATTACCTAATTTGCATAATTAATTAATTTTCAGCTTTTGATATTTCAAGTAGTAATCATCACATTTCAATGAAACTTGGTACATAGATATCATAGGACACTGCACAGACGTGATAGTTTTTAGGGTAATATCAGTACATATTAATTACCTAATTTGCATAATTAATTAATTTTCAGCTTTTGATATCTCAAGTACTAATCATCATATTTCAATGAGACTTGCTACATAGATCTTATAGGACTATGCAGAGACCTGATTAGTTTTAGGGTAAATAATTGTGGATATTAATTACCTAATTTGCATAGTTAGTTAATTTGTTCCATGAATGTTCCACTGATATATAAAGAACCACGAATTGGATTTTAATGAAAATTTTGAAGAGAACAATGCAGAGACCCAATCAGTTTTTAGTAAATATTTATGCTTATTAATCACCTAATTAACATAATAAATTAACTGATATCTCAATTACTGATCATCACATTTGAATTAAATTTGGTACATAAATGCTCTAGGACAATAGACAGGCCTGATTAATTTTGGGTTAAAATTTGTTCATATTAATTCTCTAATTAGCATAATAATTCATAATTGTTTTGTTCTGTTCTGTTCTGTTCATATTAGTTACCTGATTTACATAATTAGTTTTCAGCTTTTCCATCAATATCTCAGGTACAAGTAATTTTTAATTAAATTTTAATGTGTCTTCAATACTCTCATCACACAGGAGTTCTTTCTAAGCTTTCTTTGATTTTGTTGTACATGTGCTAACTGTAAATAGTAAATACAGTTTTCCTTATTTGTATTTCATGCCTCCAATACCTTCAACACAGGAGTACTCTCCAAGCTTTCTTTTTAATTCACAATTGTGGCTATGATGTCATACTTTACCAATGTATCTTTGCTGAAGAATCAAGATGACTACATAATACTGATGAAAAGTTCAATATCTAAAAAAAGAAAATATAATTGCATTATCCTATATTCATGGAGCCTTTTACATTTGGGAGCATTATGCTTTTATGTTATGTTATGTTGTTTGCCCGGCCTTCTCCTTTAATCTGTCACAATCCTATCTAAGATGGTCGACTGGCAACCATTTTATTAAACAAAAATTTGGTATTTTAATTTATTTTTGCTCAATTCTGCTTACATCTCAAATTCTTACTGCCCATGTAAGTTCAGAGTTGGTACATGGGCAAATGTGATGTGATTAATCACAATTCAATAAAAGATGGTCGACGGGCAGCCATTCTTTTTAAAATGCATGCTTAGGCCAATTGTGTTATTTTGAACATGCTTAGACTGATTTATATTAAACTTTGTACGATAGTTTTATATGTTGGGTGCCTGGTATATGTCCAATACTTTTTTGCATTTGACTAACAATTTTGTTTCATCTGAAGTAATTTCTCCAACATGCTTTGGCTGATTTGATTCAAACAAGGGACTGGACCGACAATGATCAAATAAATGCTGACATATATTTTGTCATATATTAAAGAACAAAAACAGAGTGGGTGTGGAATTCTCAATGCCTACGCTTTCTGTTATTACCTGTATCCATGTCAATCACTGCCTCCAATGCCATTAGCAAATATGCTTTCTAAGCTTTCTCGGATTATCTGACTATTCACATACATTATCAATCGGTTTAACAGCATATAGTTTGGTTTTGGTGCATCTTAATATCTCCATGTTTTGTTCCAGTCTGAGTGGAATTCTTACTTAAACATTCCCATTGAAATTGGTCTTCTGAACTTTCAATGTATTTTGCAATTCGCTGTTGCAACATTATTAAAATGTGAGGCTTGGTTTTAATAGTACTTAAGTCGTCTGTTTAACATCCTAACATTGTCGCCCAAACCCCCATTCTACAAGTCATAACTGATGTCTGATTCCTGCTTTCTGGCAAGAGGATAATTAACATCGCTTCTTACTGCGATGTTGATCCCTATCTTACACTGCCTCAAAACAAGTATATAATATTTAGTGTAGATCGCCCAACATGTCTAGATTAAGTGATAGTAAATTTAGTATTTTTTTCTGGTATATAATCATGGCTTTAATGATTCGAACATACTGTGGTGACACTGAACTCAAAACGTGTTTTCTTATATCAAAATTCAAAGGTAGTTCAATTGTTACCATATCTTATGTTTAGAAGTTATCTGTTTTGGTTACAAATCCAGGAATATTAGGAAATCCCCATTAAGTTACTGTGCCTGTGCCGCAGATTCACCTTTAGTTATACTACTAGTTTGCATGCGTTAATTAGGGCACAGTAACTCAGTCTAACCATGTGAAGCAAGTTATTTCAATTTGCTTATATTGAGCAAAGCTGATGAGGCTATGCTACCCAGACAGACATACTACTATTCTGCTTTTAGACAGCAAATGACCTTTGGTACATATAATCAGTTACCAATTGTATCCAACACAAACACTGATTGCTCATACAGTAATAAATCAAAGATGACTCAACATTTAATTTATTCGTTTATTGTAAATATCATTTACATTGATATAAGCTGTGTATGTTTTTACATCTGTTAATACATGATTATGAGCATCACAAGAAAGCAAGTTGCTTGCCATTCGAATGAGAAATATGTTTGAGTTTGAAATAATAAATCACCTGGTTTTGTAAAAAAAAAAGAACACTTTAATAAAAAGAGAAAATAATGTGTTTTTCTATATTTTGCAACGATTTGTAAGGGGAAAAACGTATTAAGATTGGTTAAATTTAATAGAGTTCAATGGAATTCTGAGCTAAACCATTTCGTAAAAACTATTTATAGCTTTGGAAACTAATTCAGATTCGTACATATTGGAGATATAAAATGTAAAATACAACCCTACACTTGAACACAAGTTTTTCCTTATACAAGTGCCTTCCATCCAACGAGGTCGACTTATGACTACATAAACTTGACTATAAATTAAATACAAGTCAGCAACTAGTTTAATGAATTTCGTGGGTTGTGGGTGATATATTTTGACACATGCTCTATTATCAAATCTTATAAACCGGCTTCAAGTATCCATTATCAGTTTACAAGTGAAATAAGATTTCTCTAGTTGATGGAAATGTTACTAATTTGTGATAAATCAGATTACTTTCATATATACTGTATATGATGTTTATACGTGTTTCTACAATATATAACAGTAAACAGTAACACATTCTGTTTCAATGACCTTTGAATAAATTATTCTATTTGCGTTTTCACAGGGAACAACAGGGATGTTATATACACAATTGTTTGTAGAGGAGGGTGATGAATTGATTCCCAATTTGATTAAGGACCGTCAAGATCAGTTATAATTGTAATTACTATAAGCATTCATACAAAAAACGACTATATCTACGTTTGAATGCAAAACACATGTAAAATGAAAAGTAAATATCTAATAATCTGGACTGGAATTGCTGGTACTAAATTTGAAGCTTAAGAATTTGGCAGAGACCTCAATGCATAGTGTCAGCTTAGAGCATTGGGACAGTATGTGCCAGTTTGTAATGTTTTAGCTTGGTCTTCTGTGCACCATAGTCGAAGAGGATTGGCAGGGCAGTTGTGATAAACTCCGTGAGAAAAATTTTCATCCATATAAAAAAGATTCTGAAAACAAAAAAATAAAATGTAAGTAAATAGGATTCATTGCGATTTACTTTTACATGAAATAATAATATTAATTACAAATGTGTGATATACATTATACCAGTAATAATCAACCACTGTGTGTGCAACCCAACTATCATCTCATTCCACATAATTTAACAATTTAAAATTCTTATTGACAACATAATTGAATGTCCGAAATTATCAAATTCATACATTATTTGTTTGTAAAGTGGAAGTCTACAAAATTGAGCTGATTAAATGCTCATTAAAACACAATGTCATTCATTCTAGAAATTGTATACAACATATAAGACACAAACAAAATCAGACAATCATACGCTTCATGTGAGTAATTATGCAAATGAATACGACTGCATAAATTAGATCATCATAACAGTTGCATTTCCACATTTTGAGGACATTTAGACCCATTTTTTCATGTCTCACATGAGATAGGATATCAAAAATTGCACACAATAAAACGTATTGAACTAGTATGTAGATTCCGGAAAGTAAATACTAATCAATTAAAAAAAGTCATCATCGGTTTTATTGGTAGGAAGTTTTCAATAAAAGTTATTGCATACCTAAATTTAGTTGCGATACACTTTTTGTTTGCTGACCCTCTCTTCTTCGGCTCGGTGAGAGTATTTGCCGGCGACATATGTGCATCCGATAGCCAAGACTAATCCAAGTGAAGCAAAACATAAATAAATAATGTCTATCACCATACGAGCAACCTAGAAGCAAAAAAATATGCTATTATTATCGTCTATATTAATCTTCAGTGCATACATTTTTCAGCTACTATATATTCATTCTAGACATATATATATATAGTGCTCACCGGTGCGCTGCATCCATCAATCATGAACCAATCAAACCAAGTACAGTAACCACCAAAATACTCGTTTGCTATGCCAATACTCAGCCCAATAATGAGAATAATCGATGTGGCAATACAAGCAACACAGAAAATTGTATATCCATGAATCTAAGGCAAATAAACAGAACGTAATGGTGTTATCACTACATGTGAATGCAGTCGTAGCTTTAATGTTTTACATATAAATACGCAGGAAAATATATAGATGAGCGATGCTATTGAGCGATATCTTTCAATATGTCCTCCATTTTAAATGGTAATGCCAGCTGTGAACAACAAACACTTGTTTAGTTTATATGGCTCCATCAACTACAGGTATCAAATAAGTTCAATATATACACAGATGTAGATAGCATTTTGTCAAAGTGATTACATCAAAACAGGGGATGTCCTTTGACTTTGTAGTGATGATTCATTTTCCAGTGATCAGTTTTTAAAACGTCCAGTAGTACTCACCAAGTCACGTTTCTTTAAATTGTTCGCAAGTAGTCCGTAGACAGCAGTGACAATGAACTACAAAATAACGTGGTTTGTTGATTAGAGTTTATTACAAATATATATTACATGCAAATTAAATCTTACACATTATTCATGTACCGACATTTTATTAGTAGTCCGAGAATAATACGATCGTCGAGAGCTAAAAAGTGTAGCATCGAAGTAGTGGTTCGAAGGGTAAACATACATCCTATTTCACATCGATTGGAGGTAATTCTGAATTGGCAAGCGACTCTATGTCATACATTTTACAATGACGTCAGATCTGATATTTGTAGTATCTGTCGATCGATGCAACTATTAGACACTTGATTGAGATGTATATATCAGATCTAGTAACTGGTTTATAATTATGGGATGTTTACATTTTAGTTGTATACAATGACGTAATTTCATTCAGCTCTATACTCACCACCAATGCACCCCATAAGTGAAATCCTATCTGCCAGCCGTAGTTCCTAAGTGCTAAACACGTAATACCCAACCCAAGGTATATACATCCAAATATCATCAACGTCGCTCCTGTGAACACGTTACCTTTAGCGTCCATCATCTTGAACTGTTTCCTGTGAAAGAAAATAAATGAATGCGTTAATGACGTGATTATATTCGGACATCACCAGTTCCAATGCAAATACGTCATTTGTATTGAGAATGCAAGACAGGGTAGGTGCACACACATTATATGTGTGCAATAATTGCGATTAACAAATAAAGCGAAATAAAAATATCCCTCTATGTACTAGTATATATGTGTGTGTGTTATTCAGAACCGGAGGTGAGTGTACATAGGGAATATTTTTCTATGTCAATTTCTGCAGTTGCATTTGAGTAAACAAATGAATTTCATTACAAGATTATAACATTTAATAAGATTAACCATACTAGTATAATGATCTATTTGACGGCGGCTAATAATAAGTTATTAAATATAATTGAATTAACATCTATAATCCAGCGTACGATGTACCTAATATTTGTAACGCTGCTTCAATTTGTTTTCGCCATACCGAGGTGTCAAAGTCCAGAGATGTGCAAAGCGGGGATGGTGTACACGCGTTGGCGTTACTTTGCTACCCACGCCGTCACAGTGTTTGTTGGCATAAATAATGTGTCATTGTCCAAACGTTTGGCATCATTTCCTTTTATTCACGGTTTGTCAACATAAAAATACTTTATATTTTATACTGTTTCACGCATATACACTTAAAATCTATGATACAATTACATGACTGAACAAAGTAGGAATTCATTATAATTTGTCCGTCATTTTTTTGGAGTCTGGAATAAATACTAGCTACAAACTTGTCGCATTTATTTAGCGTGTTCATTCGATTAATCCTGAAATTGTGAAAATACGACATATTGACATTCGAAATTGACCGTGACCTCAACTATCCGCAACAGTACCATAGCTAAGGGCGTAACACATCAAAAGTTCTTCAAATAAATAAGATTATTATGACTTATAATTAAACTTATTTTAAAATAATCAGTTTTGTGGACTTTACTAGGGATTAGATTTGATTTATTCTAGGCTATTGTCGGTTTTGTCTCCGAGTACAAAAATGACACATTTTGCCAACACAATTATGTCGTAAATTTATATATATCTATTCTTTTATACGCGTTAAAGTCATAATAAGTATTGGATAAATATAAACAAATATTGAATACAAGACAGGGATGTAACAGTATGCAGCAAAAATCGCAGTCGTATTATTGCAAAAAAATATCTTGTAAAATGGCGGCAGGTTAATTTTAAACAGTGACTTGGACCTAAACTCTGTGACCTTCTGTAAGACAACAAGCAAAGTGCGAAAACTGATCAAATGTTTCAATTAGTTTTTTTATTGTCCGAGGTTGATTGATATAACAAAAATTACCCCCTGCTGAATCTTCATATAAATTAAAATTATTATATTCTGGTGTTTTTTTTTAAATAATTTGTCTAACGGTCGACAGTGCAAAGCAAACACGCCATTGCGACTACCATGCGACTAAAATACGTGACAAAACAAGGGTTCTTTTTTCGACCCAGACTTATTCAGATTGGCACATACATTCGTGAACTTTTCTAAATGAAATTTGAAATAAAATCTTCATTTACCTGTTTTACTGCTACCAATGTAAGTGGAAATTCTGGTGGATCTGTATAGAAGAACGAATGGGAAGAATATTTGACCGCCCAAGTCTACAATTCGCACGGTACAATTAGACTAAGTTTAATTATTAACCCGTTGTATAGATTACAACAGCGTTCCATTCCAGCGTTGATACAGGTGCGGTGCGAGTATGCAGACCAGGTACGACCGTATCACTCCGCACATTAAATTAGTTGACCACGGAGCGTACGCGGTGATGTCATACAAATGGTATGCGACATGTGGGTGTATACCGCCCCCTTTCTAAATGATAAAATTGAGTCAGACATTCTGAATTTCGCTTCGTGAGGAGTCATTGGTTTTATCATATACATGTATACTAGCTTAAACGGTGATGCTTCACGATTTATTGAACAGGATCCGGACGGACAGTGCATGTTAGGGTGTAAAATAATGGCGCCATTACGATCTGGATTCAGTGCTTAGATTAGCATATATAATATAGGTTAATTATTAATTTACAAAACAACTAAAAATGCACAAACACTACTGATAAAAAGATCTATATGCACATAGGGTCATCGCCTCTTAATTTTTTAAGTTCACATGATTTTAATGACCTGATTTATTGTTTTACCTCCATGCTGAAATAATGCATCAAAGTATTGCATCAAAAAACATAACGATATTGCTGAAGCAAATAGGACATGTTAGAAATAATTTGCTGGACGAATAAAACAAGGTGTTTTTTAATTGTATGGGTTAATACGTATTCATGCGATTCAGCCCGCTGGCGAATATGATGAATCTTATGAACCTATGTTATATCCCCCAGCAATTCTGTCAACACATGTAATCCAGAGTTGTGTATGGTATCAAAGGGTATCACAGACACGTACACAGCACATTCATATTATAACCTTTGTTTTATTCATAAGTCATTTAGTAAAACAATCTGCATATGCACTCCAATGGAGTACTACTGTATGTTTAGCACCATGATGTACTGCGTTCTACAAACATTCCCATTCTTAACCTTGGATATATATTCAGAAATTTTTGGAGTATGCCAATAAAGTGAATATTTTTTCAAAGCTGCATAACATAATATACAAAATTTGAAATTAAACATTGTGTCATTACATTAAAATACAAAGTAACCATGTTTTTTTCTTTCTTAATAAAGCTTGTAGAAATTTTGACAATATATGCTTTTCATTCAACAGTGATATGTTCCCAGGGTTTGAAATAAGAAGCCATATGTTTCAGTTACAAATCCTTTTCCAGGTAACAGCTGGTATAAAATAATATTTACTCTTATATTCCATGAATTTAACTCTCCACTAACAACCACATGTGTGTTTGTTTTCACAGCCTTTTTCCTTTCATGGAATTTTATTCAAGATAATTTTTTGGGGCTCTGATTATTTTTTCTTTTCCTTGAAAATCACAGACCATCACTATTAAAGTAGACCCTCCCAGTGAACATGACGGTGTGGAGACCCTTGCCACAAAATTTTACAAAAACCCTGTACTATAAAAGCAAGAGGTCCTATAATAGATAAGCACCATTTACAGTAGGTAAGTAAGCCTATAAAGTCATATTGCTGTGCATTATTGGTAAATAGCTCTTAAAATGTGTAGAAAACATTGTTCATTATCCAGTGACTTTCACTGAAACAAGCTTGTGGTCTTCTGGAAGCTTTATCATTGGAATGTCATCTCCTCTCATCGGAATCAGTATTATGGTTCTATCCTTAGTTGTATAATGTTCAGTTATCCTATAAGAATAAAATACAAACAGATGATATCAGGATTGAATTTAGGCATCAATTTGGAACAACCACTGTTCATACTAGTGAATGAAACAAACCCACTCTAAGACTCATAAGTAATTTACAACTTTTTAAAGCATGGTGAATATCAGTGCATTACTTTTTTTAATCAAAATATATTATTCTCTCATTTGCATTTATTCTTCGGCTTTAAAGGGCAGCAGTCGTCGTGCTGCGTTCTGTTGATATAGAATTCATAGCAATGTATACAACGCGTGTAAAATACATTGTTTATTTACGTGAAATTTGAACACGCGCTGCGCTGCGCGCCGACCACCATGCTTTAAAAAAAGAACTGAAATCAAAACTATACCTCAATGGTGCGTACTTTGAAATACCAGTGGGTAATCTTGATGCAAAGATTGCTGAACTTATCGCTACACAACATTCAGCGAGTCCCAATACAGCTACAGTCACATCTATACCACCTTGTAAATTCTGATAATTAATGGTAAAATATAATTATTTCCATTGAGTCAAACTAGACATCATCGCTGAGCCTAACACATAGTTTCCATGACTACTGCAACTGACATTCTACATTTATCAGAATCAAAGCATACAATGTATGTGTGTATACAGAATTTGATATGTTGAAAAACCTGTCAAAGAACAAGCTGCTCTCTGATTGGTCCAACTGTTAGTTATTATGGCTTGTTAGCCAATCAGGCACAAGCTTATAAGTAGCTTCACATTGACAGTCACAGTCTGAATTGTACAAAGATGTCTGTGACATAAGTTCAATGCAATGGTTTAGTTATTAGGACATATTATGGTATATTATGATTTTGTGTAGCCTGTACCATGTGCAAGAATCACTGCTACATGACAAAAGTACTGCTGTATTACGACTGTAGTTGAATACACACCTAATTCTTCTATGTATCATGTATGATTGTTAGATTACATGGGTTGTTTTGGGTGAGCTCCAATAATATTACACATTTAACACAAGAACAAAAGTTTTAGGCAAAAACAAGTCATGCTATGGTATGAAACAGTCTCTATTGTGCAAATATTGTGCGAAAGAAAACTTAAACGAGTCAAGCATTTTCAATCAGAACTTCTGTAATCAGAAAAAAATGTACAGACTTGATTTATAATGTAGGTGCAAGTTATTGCAATCAGTCAAGGCGTGTGTCAGAGATACATGTATTGCTCTTGAATGACTTTTGTTAATTCAAAGTTAGGCGAGGGTTCTCCGAACCCGCCTATTCACATAGTTCATACCCACCATAGACTCCGGTCAGTCAAAATCACTATTTTGAACTGTAGGCATTAATTAGCGATTCTGCCGGTGACGGAGAGATAGAATCTAGGTCAGGGGAAGTCCCATGACCTCAAGATTTTTTTACCCCTTACGTCACAAACCCACGTGACCGAGGCCACATGGCAACGCCATAGGTA